CCCTAAACCCATAAAACCCCTACAACCCCAAAAAACCCTAAAACCCCTAAACCCTAAACCCCTAAAACCCTTAAACCCTAAACCCCTAAAACCCTTAAAATCTAAATCCTGGAGGTCCCATACAACTGAGGCCAGCCTCCCCAACGAGAAGGAGGAAGAGCTCCTAGCCAACTCCAACACGCAACTGCGCGTTTCGCTCTGCCCAATGGCGTCTTGCATGAAATTGTTTGGGGTTTAGGGTTCAGGGTTAAGAAAAATAGTATTTTCCTTAAACTGGGAGACCCCAATATAGGCCCCGAAATGCTACAATGTTTTTTTCGAGAGACCCCTAAAAAGTACCCCTAACTTTCAGAAGCCGTGTGATTCCAAGCATTTCCAAGCCATCAGTAAGGTATGGCATGGCCTTCCGACGTGCAACAGGACATGTTAGCAGTTAGCTTCTGCGATGTGACACTAGATGTCTTATTCCTAATATCATTGGCATTGTTATTTTTGATTGTTGTTGCTGGTGTTATAGCTGCTATTATCAGTATTTCATCATGATTCATGTTATTTTCGTTGTTGCTAGCGGAAGTGCTTTGACCAGGACCCAGGTGAAGGAGAGGCAGAGATCAATCCAGTTCCTCTGATGCGACGTTGGCGCTTTCCGGAAATTCGGGGCCCTTTGTGGGAGTTTTCATAATAAGGATTATAGCATTTTGGTGTTTATTTTGAAGTCCCGTATTTCTGGAAACTACCGCCAAATTCATTGGTGGTGGAAGTTAGCTGGCGCTGGTGAGTGCGGCTTGCAAGCGCCTACGCCCGAAGCTGGCAGTTTCACGCAGCAAAACGAATTGCGCTTGGGCCTGTCTTCTGCATGTCTAGATATTTGTATGCTAGTCCCCGCTCCCTAATATCCCCCCCATCCCTCGATATTAAACATTACCTTGCTTCATATTATGATTATATATATATAGGGAATATCTAATATTAGGGGGGGGTGGGGATTTTGATGTATTGGGGAGGGGATTAATTCTGTGTCACCTTCAGGTTGAACATGTTCATGCCAGCTGCAGCATTGGTCTCACTTTCTGCAGGGTGCCAAACTCAGACAACAGCCACTCTTTCTTACCCAGACCCCCTAAAGGATCCAAAAAATGGAACACCCCCCCAATATGAACCCATTACTACATTCGGGAAACTAGGGGATCATTAGGGGGTCCCATTTGTAGATCCTTTAGGGGGTCTGGGTATAAGCATCATTATTATCATTGTCACTATTCCCATTACTATTCTTATTAGTGCTAGTGCATTATTAGCATCATGATTATGCTTACCACTCTTACTGTGAATTGTGATATCTTTACATCGAGTAGTCTTGTGGTTGCTGCAAGAGTCACAGTGATGTGAGCGCGAAGCTGCCACGGAAACCTCAGAGGCTGCCACCGCGGCCTCCGCTGGCCTCCGTTTCTCTCGGTCCAGCCCTCTGCGAGGGCTGTTCTAAATTGTGGGCTTCCTTGGGTATCCTTAACCATAAGGATTACGTCAAAATGGATGCCCAATAAGGGACTTGCAGTGCTTTGGCGCAGCAGAATGAAGAGGAGCCGCAAAGGATACTGTCTGAATCTTGCACCCTGAAGACTAGGCCTGGGCTATGGTGGCTGTTCGGCGTGCTTGGGAAGTGTCTCCACGGTTGTAGGTGAAGGCAAGTAGCCGCGAGATTCTTAGGTCTTGCCAGGATGTGCTTAAGCGTCGGCTTACACAGGCTCCGGGAATGCAGCGTAAAGCAAGGCAAAACTGGCCAATATGCTCTTAGGGTTAGGGTTTATTTGTGTAATGGAAAGAACATGGAATCTACTATAGTATATCGGGGTTGTATAGGGATAATGGGCAAGAAAATGGAAACTACTATAGTATATTGGGGTTTTATAGGGTGTAGGGTTTTAGGTATTTCGGGCCTGGCAGCAAGGCAAGTCGGCCTGCCGACCCCCCCACCCCCCACCACCCAGGCATCATGTGAAAACAAGCCTATTCCTAGCCCTGCTGATGCTCCTGGGAGAAGTGTACGCAAAAATGATGTTCTTGGTACCTGCGATGCTTTTTTAAAGTTTAGAAGGTCATGTTCTCTCCAGGTTAATTGAAAATAACCCAAAATGGGGACCCAATGGTGCTGATGATGCTCCTGTATGGGGCACGCGCGCCCCGTACGCCAGCATCATCAGCACCATTGGGACTTCATGTTGACTTAGTTGGGACCAGTTGGAGTTGAAGACCTAAGAAAAACCAACAAAAAGAGCTTTGAACACGGTTCTCTGCGCTGGTTGATTTTGCTCGTGACCCATGTAGTATTTTGCATTTCAAAGGCAACATTTTCACATATTTTATAAATTAAACGTGGGGAACAATCCGAGCATTGGAGCCGCAAAAGGGCTGGAATATGGGCAGGCCCCGCAGAAATCCACGCAACATGCGCAATGACAACGGTTTGGCCTGGGCAATGCACGCAAATCCTTTTGCATGCATGTCATGTACCGCAGGTCCTACCAACACTGATGTTTACAGCTAAAAATGCTGCCCACAGCACGTATTTGTTGCGTTTTAGTGGGGTTAACAGCACTTTTCGAGGCCCCAGGAAGCATCATGAGCGTCATGGGGCCTATCTTGGCCCCACAATTCCTCCCTCTAGATGCCGCAAACTTCGAAGGCCCAATCGTGCTGATGATGCTGGCCCGAAAAAAATTGCCCCAAACCCTCCAGAGGCGGAGAAGTTGCGAAGGAAATGACGGTGTTGGGTCCTGTGGCAGCGTTCACGTCAGTAGGACGGTCTGGAAGACGGTCGCGAGGGCGTTCATGGCCGAACTCGTGCTGGTGGGGCTTACATCCATCGCGAGATGAAGGGTTGGGGAGGCCTGTGAGGGGTGTTCCTAGTGGCGGCTGGGCAAGATAACTTACTCGCATGTGCAGGGATAAATCGCCAGAAGCGGAGCGGAGCAGTCACGGGAGCGAGCATCCTACACGGCCAGGTGACCCTGACATCGCAGCCCCAGCCGTTGTCCCTATGATCAATGGTTGTTTGCTGTTTGCTGCGCAAAATGAAATGCCTGTGGTCGTATTGTATCCTCACATGTGAGTGGCATGCGCAGAAACCGGGCGTGCTCGCAGACAGCGGTGGGCAGGCTTTGGAGGCATGGGTTTCGTGAAGCGACGAACCGTCACACGCGTCGGGGCGCGGGAACGGATTCCGAGGCCACCCCCTTTGGGAGCGTGTATGTGTGGGGGTAGTGCGGGTCGGAAAACAGTCCCCAACCCCCCTCCAAAATGGCTGTGAGGGAGGTGGTTTGAGCGCTCGTGAGCATCGTCTTGTTGGCCGGGTGCTCAAGCTCCCAAACTTCGCATCTCGCGTCGACAAGGTAGGGGCGGATGCCAGGGCATCGACTCAGAGAAGCGCGGGCACAGCAGCTGCGCAGGACAGAAGGCATTGGGGCCTGGGCCGCCAGGGCCTTGGAACCCACCCCAAGAGCCTTGGCGGCCAGAAGAAGGGGGTTTTCACTTTCTCCGTATCTGAGACCATCCAACGCGCCACCAAAGGTTGGTGGATTGGTGCTGTGCGATGCCTCAACGCTAGAATCTGCTAGAACCGTGTCTTCGAATGCCCAGTCGGACATGCTTTGTTTCCAGAATTGCAAGATATGCCGGGTCGCCGTATCAGGAGAAAACTAAAAACAGAGGGCGCGGTAAAGCAAGATGTGCGTCTGAACCATCCGTAGACCTTGAACTCTAGACCCCCTAACTAAACCCCTAAACTGTAAACCTTAAACCCAGGTCCTGCTGCGCAGACGCCTCAGCTTGTGTATGCTGGCCGCGTGAGGTGAAGGGTGAGCTGCTGGCTGAGGATGGGCTGCTTTCCAGGTCAATTCCCTGTACAAGGTGATTGGGATTATAGGGTTTAGGGTTTAGATGTTTAGGGTTTAGGGTTATAGGGTTATAGGGTTTAGGGTGCTGATCATGCGATGCCCCATTTTCTTCCATGCCGCATTTTCTGGAAGGCGCACAGGCACAAATGGCTGGACTGCCGCGGGCCAAAATGCCAAAATGCAGGATCCAATATCAACAGTAGTCTTGCACACCAGTTTCCATCTCATTTTCCATCTCCGTTACCATTTGATTCTCCAGTCTTCGAGTGATATCCTTATACATCCTGATATTTACATATGTATATTACGTGCACATAAATATCACCCTATATAACCCATGCGGCTATTATTTGGGTTAGGCCCCCACCACTACTAGTGGTATATTAGGAATATATAGGGACGCTGATATAATCACCATTATCCATTGTGGTGACTATTAGTGGGCGGGGGCCCAACCTAAGGTTGATTGCCATTGCGGTTTAGGGTTTCGGGTTTTGGGTGTAGGGTTTAGGATTTTGTGGTTTATCATTACTGGAGTAGTTCCCAAAATTAGGGTCCCATTTTGGTACCCCTAAATATTAGGTGCCGTAATATAATATATACTCAAATGGGGCCCATACTTTTGAGAACAACCCATTGCTTAGGGTTTGGGGGCGGATTTTTCATCTTGCAACTTTGAAATTTTGATGTTGAGGAAATGTGAGAGCCCTAACCAATGCTAAGTTTGTATGATCTTGAGGGTTTTGGGTTTAGGCTAGCCGCAGGGCTTGTGAAACAAGTCCTAGATGTCGTTCACCCCGATCTCTGTGCTACTACTGTTGATGCTAAAAATCCTGCGTGGCCTTAGTAAACTATAGCACCATATTTCACAAGGATTCTGGCAAGATTTTCAGTATCCACCCCAGCACATGCCGATGCTTCTGCAGGTAGGCTCTTCCAGACATTCCTGAAAAGGTTGGTGGCCAGGCTGTAGGAGCCAGGGAGGACGGGTCTGACGACCTTACACCTAAACCCGACAAAGAGATGCCCCACTACCTGTTTCAGACCATTGTCAGCCCTTAAAGGGGGGGGTCCTTAAACCCTATAGAGTCCCCCGTAAGTAGATGGAATATGACTTTGGGTATATTAGAATAAGATCCCCATATACCCCATTGTCTATCTACTCAAGGGGGGACTATAAACCCTACAAGGCAGAAACCCTGTGCGACGCCGGAGACTGGACTCCCCCGCAACATTGCAAGTGCAAGCTTGCCGGGGCCAACCCTAAACCCTAAACCTTAAACCCTAACCCCTAAACCCAGAAATTCCATGAGGAGCAGGTTCATGGCTTCCTCACCCGAGGGCTCTACGATTAAACATGTGGGTAGTTGTCAAAATTATGATCCGTTTTTGGAACCCTAATATAATACAGCACCTAATATTTAGGGTATCCAAAAAGGGATCATAATTCTGACAACCACCCATGTAGCAATCACATTGGTCCCAAAAGTGTGCAAACAGCAACCCCAAGGGTCCCCAAGGACCCAA